AATATAAATGTGGGGGAGGGACATGAGGCATTACGTAGGATGAAAAGGGGTAAAGCAGCTGGAACTGATGGGATCATGACAGAAATGTTAAAAGCAGGGGGGATATAGTGTTAGGGTGGTTGGTACTTTTGTTTAATAAATGTATGAAAGAGGGGAAGGTACCTAGGGATTGGCAGAGAGCATGTATAGTCCCTTTATATAAAGGGAAGGGGGACAAAAGAGATTGTAAAAATTATAGAGGAATAAGTTTACTGAGTATACCAGGAAAAGTGTACTGTAGGGTTATAATTGAAAAAATTTGAGGTAAGACAGAATGTTGGATTGCAGATGAGCAAGGAGGTTTCAGAGTGGGTAGGGGATGTGTAGATAAAGTGTTTACATTGAAATATATGTGAACAGTATTTAGATAAAGGTAGGAAAGTTTTTATTGCATTTATGGATTTAGAAAAGGCATATGATACAGTGGATAGAGGAGCAATGTGGCAGATGTTGCAAGTATATGGAATAGGTGGTAAGTTACTAAATGCTGTAAAGAGTTTTTATGAGGATAGTGAGGCTCAGGTTAGGGTGTGTAGAAGAGAGGGAGACTACTTCCCGATAAAAGTAGGTCTTAGACAGGGATGTGTAATGTCACCATGGTTGTTTAATATATTTATAGATGGGGTTGTAAAAGAAGTAAATGCTAGGGTGTTTGGGAGAGGGGTGGGATTAAATTATGGTGAATGAAATACAAAATGGGAATTGACACAGCTACTTTTTGCTGATGATACTGTGCTTATGGGAGATTCTAAAGAAAAGTTGCAAAGGTTAGTGGATGAGTTTGGGAGTGTGTGTAAAGGTATAAAGTTGAAACTGAACATAGAAAAGAGTAAGGTGATGAGGGTATCAAATGATTTAGATAAAGAAAAATTGGATATCAAATTGGGGAGGAGGAGTATGGAAGAAGTGAATGTTTTCAGATACTTGGGAGTTGACGTGTCGGCGGATGGATTTATGAAGGATGAGGTTAATCATAGAATTGATGATGGAAAAAAGGTGAGTGGTGCGTTGAGGTATATGTGGAGTCAAAAAACTTTATCTATGGAGGCAAAGAAGGGAATGTATGAAATTATAGTAGTACCAACACTCTTATATGGGTGTGAAGCTTGGGTTGTGAATGCAGCAGCGAGGAGGTGGTTGGAGGCAGTGGAGATGTCCTGTTTAAGTGCAATGTGTGGTGTAAATATTATGCAGAAAATTAGGAGTGTGGAAATTAGGAGAAGGTGTGGAGTTAATAAAAGTATTAGTCAGAGGGCTGAAGAGGGGTTGTTGAGGTGGTTTGGTCATTTAGAGAGAATGGATTAAAGTAGAATGACATGGAGAGCATTTAAATCTGTAGGAGAAGGAAGGTGGGGTAGGGGTCGTCCTCGAAAAGGTTGGAAGGAAGGGGTAAGGGAAGTTTTGTGGGCGAGGTGCTTGGACTTCCAGCAGGCGTGCATGAGCGTGTTCAATAGGAGTGAATGGAGACGAATGGTATTTGGGACCTGACGATCTGTTGGAGTGTGAGCAGGGTAATATTTAGTGAAGGGATTCAGGGAAACCGGTTATTTTTATATAGCCGGACTTGAGTCCTGTAAATGGGAAGTACAATGCCTGCACTCTGACGGAGGGGTTTCGGGATATTAGCAGTTTGGAGGGATATGTTGCGTATCTTTATACGTATATGCTTTTAAACTGTTGTGTTCTGAGCATCTCTGCAAAAACAGTGATTATGTGTGAGTGAGGTGAAAGTGTTGAATGATGATGAAAGTATTTTCTTTTTTGGGGATTTTCTTTCTTTTCTGGATCACCCTGCTTCGGTGGGAGACAGCTGACTTGTTGAAAAAAAAAAATGACTGATCATTTAAATTCTACTTTTAATTCAGCCTGCTGGGTTCTTTGATTAGGAAGAGATGCATATGAAAGCTATTCACATTGCTGATATTGTATGAATGTGAAATGGAAACCTCCTAAATGTTATTTGCTGTGAGTATTTCTGGTCTTTTCTTATGTCTTAAATATGTAAGATGACAGATAGATCTTACATTTCTTTTCTTATATTTGGTATACACTTTTCTTTCCTGTGTGTTTCTTGGTGGTTTTCATTCCGAGTAAAATTTCCTTTCCTATTTATGAGGCCTGGTCTGAGACTGAGCTATTGATGTGGTGATCCTTGTAACCATTACAGATATGCCGTACCATGTTCCTGCAAACTAAGCAAGGAAAGTGAGTTATTTCAATTTTTATGTATATACAGCCTCTCCTCGCTTAACCCTTTGACTGTTTCGGTCGTATATGTACGTCTTACGAGCCAGTGCTTCAGATGTATATATACTCAATAATTCTAGCGGCTTCAAATCAAGCAGAAGAAAGCTGGTAGGCCCACATGTGAGTGAATGGGTCTGTGTGGTCAGTGTGCGCAGTATAAAAAAAATCCTGCAGCACGCAATGCATAATAAGAGAAAAAAACTGACCATGTTTTTAGATTAAAATGACGACTTTGAGGTGTATTTTTGTGTAGTATTTATGGTTGTATTCTCATTTTCTTGGTCTCGTTTGATAGAATGGAAAACATATTACAGAAATAGAGATGATTTTGATTAGTTTCACGATGAAAACGACCTTGAAATTGAGCTCAGAGTAGTGGAAATATTGGATTTTTACCAATGTTCAAGAGTAAGCAAATCACACCACACGTCCAATACATGTCAACTGGGGAGTCTAATATTCTTTCACTAGTGCACTGATATTATTTATACCATTTTTACAATAATGCAGTAGTCTGCATAACTAAATCTTCTATATTTTTGTGTGAATTAAAAATCAAAATAGAAAGCAAGAGGGGCCTGGAGACATGACTAGTGAACAGAGGATATGATATTTTAGTGCCAAGAATGTCTGCATTGTTGGTTCTGGACCCCATTTTGAAATTGGCATCTTTTTTAATTTGCGTGAAATTGGCCAAATTGCCAATTTCTGACTACTTTATTGGGTAGTTGAAATTGGTAAATGGGCAGTTTCTTGTACTCAGTTGATAGAAAAAGTGGAGTTCTAAAGAAATAGCTATGAGTTTGGTCAACTGGAACAATGGAATTGGCTGAAAATAGGGCTCAAATTCGGCAAAATTGCTGATCGTATATGTCGCCGAGATTGCTAACTTCACGGGAGCGTAATTCTGTAAGTTTTCAATCAAATTTCACACTTTTGGTCTTATTACCATCGGGAAAAGATTCTCTTATCATTTCACAAGAAAAAATAATTTTATATTTTTCCCAAAAATTTTTCAACACCAGGAGACACTTCAGGATCTGGGGTTGCAGCAGTCAAAAGGTTAATGATGGAGTTCCATTCCTAAGACCACGTCGTTAAATGAATTCGTCGCTAAGTGAGGAGCATACTATAATGGTAGTGGGTTTGTGTCAACCATCTTTGATATTGTTTTAATATCACCTTTGCACCATTTATAGCATTTCTGGTATATTTTTAACCCTTTCAGGGTTGGTGCCGTACTAGTACGCATAAATTCTAGCTCCTTCAAATCTAGCGAGAGAAAGCTGGTAGGCCTACATATGAAAGAATGGGTCTATGTGGTCAGTGTGCACAGTATAAAAAAATCCTGCAGCACACACTGCATAATGAGAAAAAAAAAACTCCGACTGTGTTTTTGCTTTAAAACAGTGACTTTGCAGTGTATTTTCGTATGGTATTTATGGTTGTATTCTAGTTTTCTTGGTCTCATTTTATAGGATGGAAGACATATTACAGAAATTGAGATGATTTTGATTGGTTTCCCAATGAAAAGTACTTTAAAATTGAGCTCAAAGTAGCAGAAATGTTTGATTTTTGCCAAAGTTCAAAACTAAACAAATCATGCCACCGTCCAATACACGTCAACTGGTGAGTAATATTCTTTCACAAGTGCACTGATATTATTTATACCGTTTCTAAACTAATACAGTAGTCTGCATAACAGTAAATCTTCTATTTTTTGTGAGAAAAAATTCAAAGTGGAAAGCAAAAGAAATGCAAGAGAGGCCTGGGGTTGTGAGTAATGAACAGAAAAAATTTTATTTTAGTGTCAGGAATGTCTTGTTTGTTTATTCTGGAAATTGGCATCTTTTGAAATTTGTGTGAAATTGGCAAAATTGCCAATATCTGACCACTTTATTGGATAGTTGAAATCGGTAAAAGGATGGTTTCTTGTACTCATTCGATAGAAAAAATGGAGTTCTAGCAAAATAGTCATGATTTTTGTCGACTGGTACATTGGAATTGGCCAAAAATAGGGCTCAAAGTGGGTGAAATCATCGATGCGTAAACATTGTCGAGACCGCTAACTTTGCGAGAGCATAATTCCTAAGTTTTCCATCAAATTTCATAATTGTGGTGTCATTATGATCGGGAAAAGATTCCCTATCATTTCATAAGAAAAAATAATTTTTTTTTTTTTTGTCTCGAAAAATTTCCGACCCTGAGAACAAGTTTAGCAGAGGGCCTGCTGACCTTGAAAGGGTTAAATGTTTATACAGTAGTGTGCTGTATATTGAAAGAAACAGAAGAGAGGAAATCAGCTCTAATATGCATTATTTAGGTATAAATACTGGTCAGAGAGCCTATCGTAAGTCTGAGGTGTTGGCAAACGAGTACGTCACTGAGGAGAGACTGTACTGTGTCTATATTTTAGGGTTTTCTGGACTGTTTGCTGTTCATATTGATTCTTGGGGTGAGGATGTTGCAATTTGAAAGGTCATCTCAACTGTAATGTCAACATGTTTCTGGCAAGACAGTGATTGAATGAGTGAAAGTGTTTCCTTCTTTGTTGGGTCACCCTTAGTGAGAGACAGCAGGAGTGATAAAAAAAATATTCTTGGATCTAGCAGAAAGTTAATGATTGTTCAAGGTCTGTAATTTTGGTAATTGCTTTAATAGTTTTGAAACTGTTGTGTTACTTTTTCAGTAATATCCCACATTAAATTTTACAGGAAAGGGATAGAAGAAAAAAGAAAAGAAAGAAGCGTGGAAAAAGAAAGAGATCAAACCCTAATGATCCATGGGCCCACTCTTCTACATCTTCCAGGTAATTTATGCTAATTGCTGTTACTTTTAATTTGCTGCAGGTAATTACAATATATCAGAGCATTATTTTTATCTTGTTATTCCTTTTTTCTTCTTTTAAATCATATTTTATATGCACTATACACTGCAGACACATACTATAATGTACATGAGACATCTCCTGGTCATATTTCTTCTCATTGGAAGGAAGTTGTGTTATATAATGCTGCAAAACTCGTCAGTTTGTCTGCACGTGTGCTCACACTGTCGTATTTCCGTCTCCAATTTACCCCTGGATTTGCAGTGTTTTTGATAATTTAACTAAAGTACCTTGTACAATGTTATTAACAATGGCTTCTAAAGCAAGTGGTGGTGCCAAGAAGTGTGTGACCTTAACTGTTAAGCAGAAACTTGAAGCTGGAGGCTGGTGTTTCAGTGGCTAAAGGATTGAGGAGTATGGTGTAGCAAAGGTAAATCAGTACATCCACGGTCTTTAAGGAATTGTATGAAAGAGTTGCCAGTTATTTATTACATGGATAAGGAAGGTTGGTTTGACATGGATATATTTTTTTCTTTGGATCATAAACATTTTTATCCCACTCCATCAACATCTCCCTCACCATCTACCTGTATGTCTCCTACACCATTTGCAGTAGTACTCTGACTCAGAATCATTTGTTCTGGGTCATCACTAGAGCACATGACATGGATATACCATACTATATTGTACATCTTAGGCTCATCTATCCACCAGAAAAGGTAACAATTGCTGTACTGTACTCTTCTGTATTGTACTGAGCTGTACTTTTAACTCTTTTTTTTTTTTTTTTTCTTTTCAGGTACAGGTAATACTGAATTGTACTCTAGTTTATTTTTAGCATGTCTGGTAGTCCATCAATACAGTGGACTACATCTGTTTCATTGGATGTTTGTCCATGTCCGTTAGTCGATTGATTAACAGACTGCATCCTCTTAATTGAAAGTAAATATAATGGATTTTTTGGTAGAGTGGGTATCCCTTCCCCCTGTTGATCTGTTTTATTTAAAGTTCACTCTACATATACAGTGAACCCTCTCACTAACGGACTAATAGGGTGGAGGGGGCATGACATTACTAGTTGTCTGAAACTTCCAAGTTATGAAATTAATTTTTCATGATCATCCAATTGTCTTCTGAATTACTGGACTTGGTCCACTGTTGAAGACACCCAGACACTTAAGAATATAGGGTATTGCACTAAGAATACAGGTATTGTATTCTGTAGTTCTACAGTACAGTACCGTACCATATAGTAATTTTATAGTGACGTGTAATCTACAGTAATTTTTCTTACCTTTTTGTGGTGGAGAGATGTGGTATAAACTTCATTGATTGATAGTGGTGACTTAGAATATTTTTTTTGATAGTCATAGGAACTGTAAAGCTCCACTAGCATCTACACTAAACTTAAAAAGCATAATCTTCAAGTTTGTCCTTGCTTCTGTGGATTTCAGACACTGTTTCTTAACACCGCATTTCTTAACTCGTGCCACTGATACAACAGACTCAACCTTCTTTATTACTTCTGGTTTCTCTTTAATACTGAGAACCACACATTTCCCCTTCATATCACCATTTACTTTAGAAGCCATTATTAATTGCACTTAATATATTAATAAAGTCACACAAAACACTAAATCTCCATGGGGAAGTGGAGAAGAATCCTTCCCCTGTAAGCCACGTGTGCCATAAGAGGTGACTAGAATGTGAAGGGTCACTCTGCCACTGTGGGAAATGGCCAATGTGTTAAAAAAAAGTCACTAAATCCAGGAAAAATTAAAGACTGAAGGATGAGTGTATGCATAAGTGAGCATAAAAATAAACATGCGAGTGCTCTACTGCATAGGAACAATGAAAATAAGACAGGTCCTGCAAATAGCCACTATTGACTTGTATGACAAATGTTGGAGTCATCAGGTTTGTTCTGATAACTTCTGAAGACAACCAGACACTATCTCTACAAACAAAATCTGGAATTATGGACTTTTGTTCATTTTGTCCGACACTCCCAATGTTTGTCCAGTCAATTGCCAAAATCTGTTAATGGGAAGTTTTACTGTATAGATTAATCATACACAAAGTGTGAATTCACTTGTAAAAATCTGTGTTTCTTGACAGTCTTTACCAAACATATGAGAGCTTTCTGTACATGCATAAAATGAGCCTATATACTGCATTTGGTAAAAAACTAACAAGAAGGATTTATAATTCACTGGAAACTGTACTGATGACATTATATCATACAGCAGCTGTGATGGGTAAGTAACCTTCAGAGTGAAAGGTGAAATTAGGTGCAAAAAATTAATTGCAAACTGGCATAAATGAAGGTGGAGTTGCAAAAGGAAGGAGGATGGGCCTACTGCTATAATGAAACTGATAAGTTGTAAAGCATGATATTCTTAATGCTACAGTCTCTTGTCTTTCTTATTCTTTTATATGGCTTTTGTGGCTGATGTAACCCTGATTATAATTGTGTCATACAAATGAGATTCTAGCTTTAGGATTTTAGTTTTATAAGGGGAATTTCCAATTTTTTTTTTTTTTTTTTATTTTAATTGCGGCCATTTAGGGGTGCCCCAAAAAAAAAAATCAAAAAAAAAGGAAAAACCATTCACAGTCTGTCATTCAGGTCACCTGTCTTCCAGAAAAAGTGTTGCAAGTTCACCAATTTTCAGATAGGGCCCTTTAACTATAGGCATTCCTCACCTTCCTTCAGAGTGTTGGGGGCACCTGCGAAAGAGGGATATGTGTGATGTTGCAGTCATGACTTTAATCAGGTGGGGTTTTCATCTGGCTTTCTTTCGATAGCTCTTTTGCTTTAGATGAAATCAATTTTCTTTTCAATTTAGGAAAACCATTTTTATGTCTTTTCAAATATTTTTTGTCAATTTTAGTTTTAAAAATTCTTTATTTAAAAAAAAATATTACCTTTCTGTCTTGTGCCTTTCCCATTAGGGTTTAGCTTTATTAAGAAAAATTTAAGGAGGATAAAAAAACAATTTATGCAAAACCCTTCTTGGAGGACTGGGGGCAAGCTTGTTGCTGTTTTTTAAAATTTGCTGTCAGACCTCCGTGTTCAAAAAATTATTTTGTAAAAATTATTGTTAAACTATCAAATTTGTTAAAAATATAATGTTAAATTTTACCAGTTAGGTTAGTGTCCCCCCCCAAATTTGCGGGGGTTTACATTCCAAAGGACCAACTTGCGGAATTTGGGAAAAAAAAAACCGTGAAAATTCTGGGGGGGACACAAATTTAACAAAAAAAATTGCTTTTTTTTTTTATATATTATTTTAAAACCCTAAAATATGCCCCAAAAAACACTTTCAGTTTTTAATTTTTCTAAACTCGGGGCTTCATACATCACGCTTTAAAAAAAAAAAAAAAAAATGGATGTTTAAGATAAAAAAACCTGTATTACAGTTAACTGTATACTATTCTCTCTGCAGTGGTAGGAATATAAAAATACCCCCAATGTTACCCCCATATCTACTGTAATTCATGCAAACCCTGTTTTCTTGATAAAACGTATGGTAAATTACGGGTGGAAAACCTCTACTTACGAGTTTAATACATTTCCGTGGGGGTCCTTGTAAATATTCTGATTTTTTTGATCGGTATGGCTGGAGTTTTCAGTTTTTCCATCCATTTTTAAATTGAAATGGCAATTAAATTCCATTCATGGGCTCTCAAAGAAGGCCAGGGACAGGAAATACAGGTGGGAAAAAAAAATCCTCTGCTTGTTAGGTTTAAATCCAATTCCGTGACCTTGGGCTAGGGCATCTGGAATTTGCTTGTTTGGCAGTTCAATTTTTCCTTCATATAAAATTAATTGAATTTTTTGTAAATTAATTCGTTCCAGCTTCTTCAGGAGGGGCCCACCGATTACTTCAATTATTTTCATAATATCATTTTATTAACGGCTTATTTATCCTTCACCACAAAATTCATCTAAATGTGACTTAATAAAACAAATTATTTAATAAACATAGGAAAAACCATGATATATAAACTAGAAGGGGGGGGGGGGACTGTTATGCAGGGATACTGCATTATTGTATTAAATAATTTGTTAAAATAATGTCAACCCCCTTTATTTAGGAATGGCCAGTTGGGACCCCAACACATTTGGGGGACATATTCTATTTATAACGATAAATTTTAAAAAATCACATTTCAGAGAACTTGTCTTTAACAGATTTTTCATTAAACCATAATTAATTTTCCCCATAAATGAAAAAAATAAATGGAAATTACAAATTTAATCCATTCAGGGACATCCAAAAAAAAGTATTAAAAACAAAAATTTTTTTTTATGTGAAAAAAATATTTACCATTTGCGTAACCACAAGAAAAAACAATGATTTTTAACATGAAAGAATAAAAAAAACAATAATACACATCCCACACTTACCTTATTGAAAGGGGGAATCATGGGATGAATGTATTGGGGAAGTGGAAAGGGAAAACAGGGGAGAGGGATGGAGGAGTTTACAGTTTTCTTTTGGCAGGTGGGGTATCCCACCTCCATTAAAGGGATTCAGGTTACCAAAGTCCTTTTTCCTGGGCGGTTTAACTATTCCCTCCTTTCTGTTTTTTAAAATGCACTAGGGACCCAGCTTTGAGAGCCCACTGGGGGACCCCCTGTATCTCAAAAAAGTTTTCCCAGAGAGGTATGTTTCTGGCGTTTATTGTTAGGAAATTGTGTTGGGGGGGAAGGGGGGGACCACAAGTATAGTCCTTCAATATGACCCCCACTAAAAAATAAATCAGCTTCTTGTGGGCTTATTTTAAAAACATAGCCAACAATTTTTAATTGTGACATTAAAATAAATACAATATTAGAAACCATAGGAAAAAACCATTTGACATTTACAGGGTCTCACCCTTAAAACATTGCGGATTTCAACTTTTCTTTCATGGGCTTCACACATTTTCGCGGGATTTTTTTTCCAAAACCGCCCAAATTCCCAGCCTCCAAA